GTTTCTAATTATTCTAATTTTTTTTTTTTTTTTTTGTAGTTTCACGAGAAATTTCGTATTACTTTTTTTTAAAAACACACAACGAAAGATATTTTTCGAGAGATTGGGGCCATGCATAAAGAGATATTACCACAAACAAATGACTTATCATAAACTTGTAAAATTTAATCTGTTTATAGATAACTACTAACTTCCGACCAGATTACTGCACCATTTTCAAGATGAATAAAAGAATTGTCTTTCTATAAACACTATTTTATTTATGACAGCGTTATATTGTAAATAATTATTTTATGAAAAATAAAATCAAACGAAATATTCTTATATAAATTAAATAAAAATCAAATAAAAATATTAAAATTATCTTTTCATCGTGTCTTTTCAAATCGAAAAATGGGAGCATAGCTTCTATTGTTTCGAATAATAATACAAAAATTAAATAATCAAATAAAGATATTAAAATTATAATTCTCTTTCTCTTACTATCTACGTCACATGCAGAAATAACAATGTCACGTAAGTACATATTCGTGGCCTATTCTTAATGTCTCCGTCATGCAATTTTTTTGTTTTGTTCCAGAATTATGCTTCGATTAAAAATATATATATATATATATACCTGAGAAGAAAAAGAGAAAAACGACTTACCCAAGGAATCAGACATGGGCTCGTCCGCGATGAAATATTTACACATGTGATCAATCACATCCTCGTATCTGTCTTCCGGTATCTCTTGAATAGAAAATTTAATCGGAGCACCCGTGTCCTTCCTTTTAGTTTCGATAATTTTCCACACTCTCGGTGGACCAGCTGGTTTTATTGGAAAAATAATTTCCCCTTCCTTTTTGCTCATTATTATTTTATATTCACAACTGTGATGATATACGTGAGCAAAATTGCGAGAAAAATGGGCCGATTATGCGGTGTATTAAATTAATGAGTTAATAAGTATCAAATGTCACTTGTCACCGTTACTGCTACTTTGTTGAAGACTCATAGCCGAATGGCCTATGAATTGTGTAACCGCAGCAGTTTTGTGTTATCATGCACGCTGATTATATAGTTTTATAACTGTTACGAGCTCTATATAATTTCATTTTTCTTACGATAAGTATATATATATATATATATAGGATTGATAACTAACTTTATCCGATATTTATACTGCAATTGTGTAGATTGTGTGGAATAATTAAATATGAAATATACGATTAATCGAAAAGGCAATTGTATATACGAATCGTTGATGATATTAATGAATATTTAAAACGATCAAGCGGAAATAAAAAGCGCGCTTAGATAAAGAAGATTATAAAATTATATTTGATATTGATATTTTTATTATTTTGGTAGTTCGTTAGTTTTCGTTTCATAAAATACGAGCTTCCGTTTGAAGAAGAAATGGACAAATGATCCTCATCACAGTTGCTTGTCACGATGCATTTATTGTCTACATTTTGTGAATTATCGTCGAATCAACGGAGTTAAAATAAAAAAAAAAAAAATAATATCCAATTTTAGAAATCATAATTGGATACTTTTTTTTATTTATCAATAAATTTTTGCTTTAGCATATTTTTTCATTTAATAATAATAATTTTTCTTTGATTATTTTGAAATATTTGTGAATCACGTGTATTACAATTTTTAGAATAATTAAAAGATTATTATTAGAAAAGTGTTTCTATAAAAAATTCTTTTATTGTTTCGTGTCAATTATTTACATTTACATTTTCTTAAATCTTAAATAAAACGTGTTTACAATATTTATTTCTCTACAAAATCTGTATTAAAATCATAATCATCAGATGCTGAGATGTTGAATTCTTCGAGTTGGCCCGCCAACTTGATAGCTGCTTTTTCTATAAAATTCAAATAATAAAGTAAAATATATATTGAAGAAATATATATAATTTTTTTTTTTTTTCTAAAAAGTTCTTACCTCTTCTAGCTCGTTCTTTCTTTTCTTTTTTAAATTGCAATTTATTCATTTTATTTAATTTCTGATTACCTTCAATTTCAAAAAGTGGATCTGTTTTCTTTTTTCTCGTTTCATCCATTTTCTTTTTTGACTTTTCCATTTGTTTTTTCTGTTTATTCTGAATTTTAATTTGCTACAAAAATTATTATTAATAATTATAATAATTATTCTAATAAGAAATATGTATATACGTGTAAATTAACTTACTGCTTGCTTTTGCAATTCAACCTCCATAGCAGATAGAACTGGCCCAGAACTTTCAATTAATAATGGATCAGTGGTTTGTTTCTTTAAAGATTCTTCCTCGAAATTATCAAGCATCATTTTTTCTTGTGCAGCAAAACTTTCAATGTCGAATTCTTTACTGACTTGGCTAACTATTTCTGCGGATACGTGACAATCCGGTTGTTCCGGAGGAACAGTATAATATCTAAGGAAACAGTACAAATTGTTATATTTTATATTTGATAATCTATAAAATACAATGTTTCATAAATACCTAATTTTTCCAGAGTTCCAATCTTCCAAAATACTGCGAGCTGCTGCTATTGTATCAGGTACTCCACCTTTTCTGAATTTCCCCATTCTGGTAGCTTTTAAAGCAAAAAATTCATCAGGCGTTGAATATTCCGTTATATTATACATTTCCATTATTTGTGGTTTGGAAACTCTTTTCAAAATAGCAGTTGCAGGTGTGTATGGATCTTTTAGAGATTGAATTTTTACTGCATTTTTTAAAGCTACAGAAGATTCGTCTGCATTATCTCCAGGATTAGCAAAAACTATACCTGGAGAATCTAATAATTTTATTTTAGAGTCTAATTGCACTGCTTGCATAGCTTTTGTTACTCCTTAAAATAAAAAAATTATAAATAATAAGAAAAATATAAACGTACGTTATATTTACACAAATAAATTTTATAATCTTATACTCTAAATACCTGGAGTACTTCCCACATTACACGCTCTACTACGTTTTAAAGAATTAATAACACTTGATTTGCCAACATTTGGAAGTCCAACAATTCCAACTCTAATGCTGGTTTTAACATTTCCAACATTTCTACAATAATTTGCAAGCAGTGATAACAATAATTCAGCACCAAAACAAGTTCCACTTTGTATCATCTTTTCAGTTTTTTTTCCTAATTTTCTTCTACCCAATCTCTTAGCTTGATCTTGAGTGGAGGCTTTAAATGCTACAGCTGGTAAACTACTACGTAAATATTTTAACCATTGATCTAAATTTTCTCTGGGTACTAAATCTGCTTTATTTAAAACTATTACCAATCTTTTATTCCTTTTGCAGATTGTACAGCTTCTTCAACCTATGATTTATATAAGTTATCTTTATTTAAGATATCTTATGTTTATGATATATTTATCCAATATCTATATTTAATATACCTGTTTACATCTAGTTCCTAAAGGATCTCTAGCATCAACAACTTCAAGAATAACATCAGCTGCATCTAAAACTTTTTTGAATTCTTTGTAATAAGCTTTTAATGAATTTTCCTCTTTAGTTAATGCATCTTTTATTTTTTCATGTGGAGTATCTATTTCCATCTCTTGATGTTGCTGTTGTTTATTCTCTGCGGCTGAAATTAATCCTTGCAGACCTGTTTTAGCAAGTTCTTCTTGTTTTTTTTGACGTGCAGCTTCACGTTGCTTTTGCTTCTCTTCTTCGTGTTGTTTTCTCATAGCTTCTACTTCTTTAAGAATATCTTCCTTAAAGGGACATTGATTCGGAACTTCAATTATTTTTGGTTTGTCTATAAAACAACAAGAAATCATTAATATCTATGACTATAATAATCCAATATAATATACGATTATAATATTTACTTTTAGGATGTTTCTTTGCTTCTTTTCTTAACTTCCTATTGTGTTCTCGAACTTTTTTCTCAATTTTATATCTTTTTCGAGCTGGCATTCGTTTGCTCGGTTTCTCTATAATAAATTACATATAAACAACAAATAAAACAAATATAATAAATAAAACTGTGAAAATAATTAGTTATAGAAAAAATATGTTTTTTGTTCAACAAATTTAGGATAAACAAAACTTTCAACGTATGTTATAAATTGTATTAATTGGAGACAATAATAATTTAACTTACTTAGACAAAATTTCGCCATTTTTTAAAATTTGTTATATTAATTTTCAATATTTATATACAATAATAATAAATTAAAAGAACAAAATATATTTTAATACATCACGTGGATGTAACTATTAATTAAAAGATAGGTTAGGAAAGAGTCAGGCTGGTAAACATAAGTATACAATATGTATTGTACATTTGCATGCACTGTATGCAGTGCATGCAAATATTCATTTGTATTTAATTCGTTTTTTAAAAATTACAAATTTTGATATTAATTTTAACTTATATAGATAGACAATTATTTTTTAATATTGCTAATTTATCAAGAATTCATAAATAAATTCATAAAATTCATAATCAAATATTATGTTTGATTTTAAGAAAAATAAATAGAAAAAAAATTCAAAAATTAGGATGACAATTGATAATAATTTCGATCGACATGAAATCCATGAAATTACGTGTCATGTTATTTGTGCTGCATCGTTGACAATAAAGTGATAAGTAGAAATTTAAGTAGTTATGTGAGAAACCGAAAATTGTTGAAAGACAGTGAAAGGTGTATTTGTATGCATATGAGAATTCTCACACTTTCATTCTGCTTCGCAAAAACTAGTTGTTCGACATCATAGAGAAGAGATCGTGGCGGTAAAGTCGGAATGGAAATTCTCATAAATTATTTCGTGCAGTGAAATCGTTGTTTCATAAAATTTTCATTAAACAAGTGATACAATTTCTCTATTCTTATTTTCATGGTAATATCGTTCTCTCATAATAATAATAATAATAATAATATTTTTGTGTGAAATTAAAATAAAATGTTGTATTCACGGGATAAATAACAAGTGTTTCTAAGGATTCTTTTTCTAAAAGATAATAGAAGATACTTTTTTTTCAAAAAAAACTTAAAGTCTTCCTATTATTGTTTGCCAAAGAATAGGAAGATTCGTGTCTTTGATTCTATATACGATGAATCTTTTCCGCTTAATATTCCATTCCACACCTTGCGTGTTTTGTTCGAATTTACAGTACAGAAGAGGAGAATAAAAAATTCCGCGTTTAGAATGCGCACATTCGAAAGACGCGTGCCGTCTTTACATTCGATTCATTAGTAGGAAGGTAGTGGGGGTAACGTCGGCTATCGCCGATAGACGGCGTGCGGCGGAGCAGTTCATTTCTGTAATGGCCGCCGTCTGGCGTTGTCGGTGAATCGGTCTCTTTCAGAATCTCGCGAAGAAAAATTTGCACAACATTATCGTTCACGAAAATCCAGTGTACAGTAATCCACGTAACAAGAGGTGTGGAGTTCGCTCGTGCATAGTGCGTATGGTGGTGTATAATTGTGACTCCAGGGTGGACGGTCGATCGAAAAAATTCAAATCGGATGTGCGTGGTGTCCCACTGTTTACTCGACCCACCGATCGTTCAGATTCGTGGTAGATTAAAAAAATCGTGCTAGTAAGAGGAAGAATTGCAGATCGAGATCGCACGATATGCAATCGAACATCATCGATCAACGTCGAGTCGTGTCGGAGTCTCGCGATTCCCTCGAACCGACGTTCGCCTTCGGACAGTAAACAAAAGTGACAGCGTGCGGATGCCGTTCGGTCATGCCTCCCGTCTCGTTCGTGTTTGCCGACAGTATTTGACGTCTTGTTCTTCTGCGAGCTCGAATTCCCTCACGTGGTTCAAGGTCTTCTAAAATCAACTTAACGTCACGTTGCCAACAGACCCAGTGAGTTTCATGCCACTTTCGCGATCGAATGTATTATCTCGAGTGTGTTGTCACTGACAGCAACGCCGAGCGCGCTTTTCCCGGTTTTCGTTTGTGTTCTCGTGTATTCTCCAAGGACTTGGTGCCAGAATTTTCGACACGAAGGACATCGTATCTTCATAGAGCATAAAGCAAAAGGAAATCACTGTATCAATACATCAATCTCGGTTTTGCAGGTATGTTACTTCGATGCATCAAATTTTTTATCTTTATATTTTTGCAAATAATTCATTTTATTGTAATTTATATTTCCGTAATCAAGTATTAAAGACGCGATGAAAATGCAAGAGAATCATCTTGTATTTAAATGTAAGAGCGTCAAATCTTTCTTATTTCTTATTTAAATATTATTTCAACAACAGAAGTTTAGAACAGAGATTTAAATGATAATATTTTTCAAAATTGGAACAAAATATTTGATCCCAGCAGAAAAGACTTTCCGCTGTCTAAAAACGCATCAGCCCGCGACAACATTCTACCAATTAAACATAATAAGTCTCTCGTAATTGCGCATGGTACTTTTATCATAAATTGCGATTCTCGCGTGTGAAAACGGTCATCTGCCGCAACTGGTGGAATAAGAAGTAGCGCTGCTTTGTAAATCAAATTGCCGTGCGCGCTGTCTAACGTATCACTGCGTATACTCGGCGAACCTGCATACATATATCCGCGTTATTTAACAAATCTGTCCGCATTCCCGGGTCTTGAGAACTTGGCATATACATTAGAATGGCACGCCGCGTGCATACCGCCAAAATTTTCACTATTTCTCTTGCCTATTCTCTTTTCAACGAGCCTTCTCGCGTAATCGTTAAAAAGATACAAGAAAAAGAGATTTCAATAATTTTTACTAAATATTCGTGAAACCATCATGCTACATTGACTCTGTACGGAAGTATGTGAATACATAAATAGAGAAAGTCTTTTAATTTATATCTGAATAAAAAGTGTAAGAATGATCGTAATTTGATGGATATATATGTGTATTTTATTATTTTTTTAATTCTGTATTATATAAAGGAATAGAAATGAAACTTTTCATGAATTAGTTAGAAATAATTTCCCTATTTATATGCTCCTAATTCCGTATGATGCGTCGTTGCAATATCAGAAAGATTAATTCAACGAATCGCTCCTCTTCACCGTTTCCTTTTAAATTCGTTTTTCCAATTAAAGCGTTTAATCAATAAATATTAGATTCACTATATTTTGCGAATTTTATTATAATATTTATTAAAATAATTCAGTTTAATTTTTTTTTTTTAATTTAAATAACATCAATTAATCGAATTGTTCGAACTATTTTTATCAGGAATTGGATTTTACTTTTATTTTTTTTTTTTTTAGAAAATGAATTTTTATTCCGATTTGTTGGTAATTTTAACTTTTGAAATATTATAATGAAAGAATAAATTTCATAAAATATTTTGACTTATCTCTACGTTACGTATCTCTAAGATGCATAATAATATATAAAAAATTCAGAAACAATTTCTATAACGAACAATAATTTCTTAATTTTTCATTCGTCAAAGATGAAAAAGAAAGAGCGCATATATTTTTATATAACGTTTCTTTCCCAGGCTGAAGTCTCCTTCCGTATTTCGAGAACGCTCGAAGAGGTGAAGAGAGATGTGCCAAGTTGCGTCGTTGCGGATGTTCCACGTGCTCCCCGAGTTCATCGACGCCTTGTCGCACTGCGTCCCGTGCTAGGACCATGTCCTAGCGATACATTCGACCCGCCCACCCACTGCCAGAGAACAGAGAGCGGCTTAAAATTTCTTAAATGTGATCCGTACAACAACTCGCGACAACGCTCGTCGAACTCGTCGAATCGTCCCTGAGATGCCGGCCCTCGAGGACGCAGCTCGCCGAGTGTCGGCGTCACCACAACAAGACTGAGCCACGACCCGTGTAATGCGGCGCGCAGAGGCGGCGACCTTCCGTCCCGATTCAACCTGCTCAATATCCCCGCAATAACGGCGAAAATGTTCGGCAAGGTGCCACCCTCGAACACGCCAGGCCCACCCACCAACGATGGAGGGAAATCCTGCGCCAGGCCGACGGCCGCCACCTGCCTGCCCTGTTTCTCGGTCGACGAGGCCCCACCCGTGCTCGCCGACGAGAAGCCGAGGCCTTGGAGGGCCAAGGACAACGCGCCCGTTGTCTCGGAGGCACCCTCCACGGGGGCGGAGGATAAACAGAGGATCCTGTGGAGATCCAAAGAGAGCTGCACCGCCTCCGTGATACTGGAGCCACCTGGCGTCACGTTGGAGGACAAGTGCAAGCCCAAGAGGGCGAAGGAGGCGTCGAACGAGTGCCCTCCCGAGGACAACAAGGTCAGGAGGTGCACGATGGACGAGAGGAAGGGCAGGAGATCCGAGCCGACCGCCGACCATTGCTCGTCCAACTTCTCTGCCCAGTCATCGAGCTTCGAGCCGACAGCCAAGAGCTGCTCCAAATACAAGGAGGCCGTCGGAAGGAGTCATCAGGCGGGATTGAAGAGCCTGGCCAGCCACAAGTGCCCGTCCAAATCCAGCAATTGCGGGGCGAGCACGAAGTCTCAAAGGGTGCTGTGCTCCACCAGCCTGAGCAACCTGAACAACGCGGACAACGGGAGGGAGAGGGAGGTCTCCTCGAAGCTGGTGAAGAAGCACGCGGGCAAGGAGCAGCAACACTTGCCTGGAAAGTCTGTTTCGCAGAGGATAGTGGGCCCAGGCAAGTGTGCGAGCAGGTGTTCTTCGGACACGAACGACGAGGTGGCCAACCGCCGATGGACTACACCACCGCCGTGATCCAGTCGACCGACGAGCCCTGCCAGAAGTCGAAGCAGAACGCGGACGATATCCCGGCCACGCCCGCCACCTGCGAGCAAAGAAACTGCAGGGGGGATTTCGCCACCTCGACACCCGCCAAGGATTGGATGAAGTCTAACGGGGACGCGTTGCAGCAGAGCTGCGTGTCCTGCCTGCCCCAGGATCTTCCTACGGAGCTGCAGTTGTCCTCGCCGAGGAATTACAGGGAGAAGTGCCGTGACCCGTGGCGGCCACCGAAATGGAGAGCAATATTTGCAACGTGAACGTGTGCCCCGGTCCGATGCGTATCAGGACACAAGCACGAAGAGGAGGACGGGCGCCTCCTGCCAGGCGTTGAGGCATGCGGTCGCCTCGTTGAACCGATTGGACGATTTTTATATGGAGAAGATCGGCGCTGGCTTCTTCTCGGAGGTCTTCAAGGTAGGATTTTCCCCCTTCTTTTTCTTTTTAAGTTCTTTCGATATAAAATTTTAAAATTGATCGATTGGATACGAATAAATTATCAGTTGCTCTGCTTGTAAAAAAATGGGGAATAAAAGTCGTTTAGTTTTCGAGAAAATTAATTCTTAATTCAGTTTTGTGATATATATATATATATATATATATATATATACT